GCCCAGTCCAATTCTACATTGTCCAGACCAATTCTGAATGTTCAGGATGGGGTTTTAGCTTTAGCTCTCAAAGCATTGAATTTTGAGCTTTTAATCTCTCCAGTCTTCTGTGGTTTGTTGAGTCACAGTTAAAGGATTGTTATATGGTACTTCTCACATCATAAGGCCATAAATGAAGAATGGGAGAAACTTTGCTCAAATACTTTTTATGGAATATGAAGGATAGGATGTAAATCCAGTCCATGTTACTTGCAGATGTTACATGCGGATGTCAGCCATATATTTGAACTATCAGCCACAAGTGGATTTTTAATAATGAGAATGGCTGATGTAATTTAACTGTGGATTTATTATTCATTGATCTAATTTGTACTCCACCTTCTAGCAAGAAAATGGCATTCATGGCAGTTTACAATCACAGAATTATAGAACAGTAGAGTTGGAAGAGACCAAGAAGCCCATCAGGTCCAATTCCTTGCTGTTACAGATCACCAATTTACAACCATCCCGCACAAATGACTGTCCAGGTTCTTTTTGAATGTCTCTAGTGTGGGAGAGCCCATGACTTCTCTGGGCAACTGGTCCTGCTGCCGTATTGCTCTGACAATGAAGAAACTTTTCCTGGTATCTAGCTTAAACCTGGGTTGTCACAACTTGAGTTGATTATTCCATGTTCCTCCCTCTGATATCAGCAAGAAGAGATCTTGACCTTATTCTTTATGGCAGCATTTGTCATACTGGTCATGTCTCCCCTCCATCTTCTCAAGGCTGAACATGCCCAGTTCTCTCAGTCTCTTCTCACTGGGCAGTGTTTCCAAAACCCGGATCATTTTTGTTGCCCTCTGCTGGACCCTTTCTAATTTTTCTGCATCTTGATGCCCAGAACTGGACACAGTATTTCAGATGAGGTCTGACTAGTGAGGAGTATAGGGGAACTACTAGTACAATCATAGAAGTGATTACATTTTCATATAAAAACTCAATTGAAATAAACACATAAAAATACAACAGTAACAGAATAAGTGCAGTACCTAAGGTATAATACCTAAGCCTGTGCACATACAAAGGCCTGCTTAAACAAAGCAGGATGACCAAAAAGGGGCTCACCTAGCCTCTCTGGGAAGGGAATCCCACAGCCTGGTAGAAGCCTCTGAGAAGTCCCTCTCTCAGCACCACCTAACATGCATGTGAAGATTGTGGTAGTAAAAGATAGGCCTCTCCTAATATCTTAAAGCCTTGGCAAGTTCGTATGGGGGAATGTGGAGGAACAACTCCAAGGAGCTCTTGCCACTGGTCACCAGCTGCCTCTTGGCTGCTGCCCAGCCATGCCTAACCTTGAGATTTATCCCTGGCCTGCCACACACCTGCAGATGTGCACTGCACTGGCAGTACCTGTGCACCAACACAGAATTAATGCTTTAGTTCCTCATCTTTACCACAAGCCACCAGCTGTCACAAAATACAGAGTTAAAGCAAACAAGCTGGGTGCCTGCGAGTATTTCAGACCACAATTTAGGGCCAAATGATTCAAACATAGATTCAAATATCAGCCAAACTGGAATTTCTTCCATTCTGATGGTCTGTGTCCATCTGTAATTTCCATGAACAAAATGAAATGTTTTCCTTCTAAACAAGGCCTAACAAGCCTGAAAAGCATGTTAATAAATGGGGCTGATAGGAAAGTAAGAAGCATTTCAATTTTTTCTTTGCCTCATCTGCACAACTGTGTGTGCCTACAACAGTCCTCCATTTAGCTAGTAACTTGAGTTGTAGCCAAAGAATATGATTCACCTTCAGCGCCAAGCAGCTGGGTGAAATGCAAGGAATTTGAACAGCAACTGCTCAGCATATATACATCAATAGCAGGGTTTTAAATGTCAGGTTTCCAGAAGACTGCGCCTCTACAGAAAGGGAGAGACTATGTACATTACAAGACAGTTTGGGTCACAGCAAGACACTTACGACACCCAGAACAATCCACACCTCAACTCAAACTATGAAGTGTTCATTATTTACAGTTCTGTGGACTTGTGTGACAGCACTTCACACAAGCCTACCAAACCACAACTGCCTAGATCAGGCGTGAAGTCCCCCAAGCCAGGCCGTGTGCTGTGAGTCACAGCAAGTCAAACAACAGAATAAAACAAAAAAAAAAAAAAAAACCCAAAAGCAGCTTCCCTCCCACACACAGAGGACTGAACTCCACATATATGTCTGCAGGGCTGGACTGCCCCCTTGGTTATTTACAGAGAGAGAAAGCCTGGATAAAAGAGTCCAAGCATGTATGATTCTTAACCTGATGGCAGTATTTCCTTTATTTAGTCTTTGAGGCAATTATTATTCACTGCCCTGAATCCATTCTCTGGCACCCTTCCCAATTAAATGGGCTTCCTGCTTATAACGAACACACTTGGGGGGATTTAATTTTAATTTACATTTACTGAGGATTTGTGAGAGGGTGACTTACACTACATGGAACATTTTTAAAGGAACACTGATGTTTTCAATTACACCAATGCCTAATAACTGGGCTTTTCCTTCATGAGACGACTAACTTAAGTAGCATTGATTTGAATGTGTCTACTCTAAGTAGGATTCAGTCTGGATCCAACCCCAACTCTGCACTGAGCTGTTTTTTTTGCTAGCACTTCAGTACCTAGAAAAAATACTGAAGAAGCCATGCAGAGCAGATTGTTCCACAGTAGGAGGAGGTTGGGGAAAATGTTGTTTTTAAATGCACCTACATGAAAAAACAAACAAACCACAAGTAAGCCTTCCACATCTGGTGGAAAAGGCACTAACCTGGCCCCCTTTGTGCCCTTCCCTGCCAAAGGAGTCCTTCATCTGGAACACTGCCAGGGAACCATGTTTTAACTGGTGAGCATCTCCAAGGCCTCCTGCCCTCCAGGGGGAAGGCCTGCTCTGCACAATTCCCCAAAAGGACTTGCATCACCACCTGCTGGCAGGGACGTGCACTCCCTACTTATTATTTATTTACTATTGATTCAAAGCTTTTGTATGCCATCCTTTATGTAAATATACTTCCCTGCCGTACGCCCATCCCTCACCGTTGCTGCTGCCAGCCCCAGCCCGGAGAGCCCACTTCCTTTGCTTGGCCGCTGTGCAGGGCTCTGGGCTGGAGCTGGAGGCCACGAGGAGGGAAGGCAGTGCAGCACCAGCAAGGCGAGAAGCAGGCTGACATCATGAGCTCTGGCCTTTCGCAAGCCTTTGTGAGCTGCTGGCAAACTCTCACAGGCACCCCAGAGCCCCACGGCAGCTGAGGGCTGGCAGCTTCCCTGAACTGCTGCACCCACCCTGTTCTGCAAAAGCCATGGCAGGGAAGTGGCTGGCAGGGCACCGCAAAGCCACAGAGCTTCCTTGAATTTATTGACTGAAGTGTTTTGCAGAAGCCCCATCACTCAGAATGAATCTCTGTGCATGCACAGAGCAGTTGGATGAACATGATCTAGTATTTACTTCTGGGAACACTCCTTATGAGTATCTCTGAACCCCATCCTTTCAGGAGGGTCCTTTTGGAAACAAGCACGCCTCCTCTCTGCACACCAGTCCTCTAATTGGGCCACCCTCCTCTGCTGATGTTGTGTCATGTGCCATATTTGCTTCGTCTGTTTCTGAGAACCCCCCTGTTCCAAGCCCTCTCCCAGTAACTGTGCACCTTGGGGCCACCTGCACACCTGGGGAGCTTGGCCTTGAGATAAGCATCTCTGCTTCTCTCATTTCAATGTCTGGAACTGGCCCACAATCCGAAGCCCCCTCCTGCTCTTCCTCCTCCTCCTCCAAGTCCCAGTCAGGAGGCCTTGGGGGTGTTCACCAAGACTATCTGCCCTTCTCACTCCCAACCGTCTCTGTAGACCAGTGACAGGAGGTTCTCTGGGGAGGGGAACAACTTGCTGCCTTTCCAGCCATGCCCCCTCATGCAGGTGCCTCATGCGCTTCAGGGTTGGACTGGACAGCAAAGCCAGTTCAGAGAGAAAGAAGTACAAGAGGCAAATGGCCTTGAAATGGCCCACGAACAGCATCTGGACAACCGCTTACTGAGAACGTACAGAAAGCACAGTGCATTGTGGTTCTATTTAAAATGCAGGAACTATTTTTACCTTTGCAGAAATCTAAATTAGAACAAGCAAATATTATGCAAATCTTTGTCCATTTTTTCTTGGTAAAGGCTGTCACTTTTTAAAGCAATGTTTAATAGGTTATCCTGACACAAAATGACTCCTTTGAACTACAGTTCAAAGTCCCTTTTTCTTGTATCCCTTGTATTTCTCAGTGACTGGATGTGCTACCAAGCAATGCACTGGTCTAGGCCACCGGCAGACTTAATTTCCTGAGAATGGCTCTAAGCCGCAGGTGTGACCAGAGGCATTCGTGGGAATGAGGGTGGCACTGCTGGAGGCCCTCAAATTGCCTTTAAGTGATACCTTCTCCTGGTAAAGAAACTGGACAATAAACAAAATTTTTATTGGGGTGTACCTTGGTAGCACCAAGAGTCACACTGGTGTCTGTAGGTGCCAAGTTGCCTACTCCTGCTATACATTAATTTCAGTACACACTAATACATGTTAGTGTAGCCACTGGTAAGTTTCATGCATTCCTTATGCTGAAGATAGGCCCTTATTTCAACCTTTCAACCCTAATCTTTCATTTCAGACAACTATATACAGAGCATACTACTGTGGTTTGATAACTGTCCTTAACTTTCCAGATCTGATCTGTCAGATTGTACCAGTTCACAGACAGAAAATATTTTCCCATGTATTTGCTGAGTTTTGAGGCCACTGAATGTCCATTTCCTTTCTTCCTTAACATCTGTTAGCACGACCTCTGAATCTCCACATCATTAACTTCCGTTAATAGAACTTCAGATTATAAAGTTCTTTATTGGTCAGGAAAATCTTTCCATGCATTCCTTTTGTATTGTCAAAATTGGCAATGAATTTATCAGCCGGAAATCTAAAATATATAGGACAACTGTCTGATTCATTTTATTTAAAAGCACTCTTTATTAATCTAATCGTGGAAGAGGTAAAGATATTAAAAGTTGCATCAGTTTGCAGCACTGTGTTTCATCTAGTTCTACATTTTTCATGTCAGTTTAATGTTTCTGTAGCTAATAGATGAACATGAAAACCCAGAATGGAACAGAATATTGGACTAATGCCAACTACCAAACTCACACCACTGTTCTCTATTGATAGTTTTAGAGTTTTCCTGCAGCTGCAAAGGAAGTAAACCTCCAAATGCAAATATGACTGATGTTATTAAATTGAAAGTAGACTTCTGCAATAGATAGAAGTGGCATGAAGACCATAAAAGCTTTCTTTTTTAAAGTGTTACTTTTTCCAGACCTTTGTCATAGCTCTAGTGAGCCTTGCATAAGGAGATAAACAGCAGGCATTTACTGTATGCAAAGAAAACCAGCATGTCCAGACCAAGAGTGTGGATTGGAGCAGAGGTGCCATTCCATCAGCAGATGGGGAAACGGCTGGCAGAAGAGAATCCAACTATCCTTGCAGTCCTCGGTCCTTCCTCTCAAATCTATTCCAGAGGGTTGAGTGATACCCCCAGAAGAGATTTGCGGGACACACAGGAGGAGTTGGGAGAGGATCAGATTCCAGCTGTATCTTCTATATGACTGTGCAAACACAGTAATCCTGTTCCCATCACAGGCTGCAAATGGCTTTCAACAAATTAGATTTCCTACAGTAGAACTTCTTTCCTCTTGCAAACGGGGTTAAACATTTTATCCACTCTGAAAAAGTGGGTGGGTGATGCAAATAGAATGAGAAGTTGGATTCATTTGTATTTGAAAATTAGTACCACAGTCAAGAAACAGATTCACAGATAATAGAGCCCAGATTAAACTATTTATATCCAATTAATAGAAATGTGAAATAATTTAAATCTAGGCTTTTAACTGAGCAATTACATTGAAATAAAAGGGCAGATTACCAAATCACCATGATTAGCATCTTCTGGAAGATTTGACTCATTCAACTTTAAATAATGGTATCATGCATAGTTAGATGAAGCCATTTTCAATATTTCTCTCCTCCACTATAGGAATCTGAACTTCAGAGTTTAGCTAGGTGTTAAAATGGATTAAAGGTCATTGCTATGACAGCAAAGGTTGATGGCAGCTGGTGGTAAGCCAAGACATTTGAAGGGCTGCAAGTTACCAACCAATCTAAATTCTGAGAGAAACTTAAGGAAATGCAGTTCCTATGCACAAAAAAAAGAGAGAGCAGACCAAGACAGCGCCAGACCCAGGCTGATTCAAAAAACAAAGTGGCAGGCAAAGTGCCAGCGGCTTTGCTTTGAGAACCATTATCTCCGACAGAATGCTCAAGCCAGGGGAAGGTGACCCTAAGAGAATGAACTATACTATATCAATAAATGCTCTTCCTGCTCCACTGACTCCAAGACGTACTCATTTAAGGTACAGTTTAATTCTTTCCTTTTACTTTGTTCTTGTAAGATTTCTTCTTTTTATATGCCACCCTGGATACAGAACTTCTAGAAAAGGATGGCACAAATGTGAAAATAAAACATATCATAGTGGTTGCCAGGACCCATAATTATATATATTATGATTTAAATGCAATAAAATGCCACTTGGGACCTGCTCCACAGCATTAACCCCGCCCCCCCTTGGGAGGGCAGGCTACTCCCCACAAACTTTTAAATGATGCTCAAAATCTTGATGAAGAGAAGTGCCAAAGCCAGAGAAAGAGGATGACGGACACCTGGGAGACCAGCCGTGGTCCGGCTGCACAAAGAATTCAAACAGTAGAAGCCTTAGAAGAAAACATGGTATAACAAGCATATTGGCAAGGTGACTTTAAACCTAGTGAGTGTTTCAATTTAGACAGTTCAACTATTTTTAGTGGCAGTATTTTAGGAAATTAAGCACACTCATCATTAATTCCTCCTTTGCTGATTTGCTTCAGCCATAAGCAAATAATTGTTCGTGCAGTTTTCCAGTTTAGCAAGAAGTGACGCCGCCTCCCCCTTTCTAAACATAGGTGGATGGCCTTTGGGGTGTATCATTGGTATTATTATTAGAAAGAACCACTTGCTATAGAAGAGATGGCAATGCCCACCCCACCCTGCAACTTGAGAAATGAACTCATATAAATCATATCCATAGAGAGTTCCATTTCAATAAAAACTTCACTTGACGTGGCAGGATTTTTAAAAAATATAATATGTGTACAGTAATAGTAATTTGAAACATCTACTAAGAAATGTCACACTTCTGTGATGGAAAGGGATTGCTGAGTTCTTATTTCAGATAGTCAGGGCTAGCATTGCTAAGTTAGAATATCACTTCAGTCAATGTAGCAAGCATTCTGAAATGTGTATCAAACAAAGTTGTCAAATTATATAAAATAAAGCTAACAAACTTTTAGGAAACAGAGGCACATTAATATTTCCCTGAGAATATTTTAGCTGACAAGCTTCTGCTACATCTTTGAACAACTAAAAAAATGTGTTTAACAATCAGTCTATTCCTAAAATATATGATTTTAAATAATACAACTTTGTAGTTTTCTTGAAGTACTTTAAATAAACATTTGTATATGTTGCTGGTAACAATTAAAAAAAACCTCCATTGCTGTTCTGAAAGGAATATTTAGTTATTTAACTATAAACACATTCAAGCAAATTGTACACGTGGAATCTTCACAATGTGCAGCTTTGGAATTTTCTTAACTCCCTTTTCATTTGCAGATTAACTCCTTCTGGATTCCAGAGGTGCTAGCTCTTCTTTCTAATTCCAGAGACCTCTTGACTGTTGCTCAATCCAGGCAGTTTCCCTTCTTTTCCTTCACTCTCTACTGGCCTGCCCCTCATTATGAAAAAGAACATCTTAGCAGGATCCAGATTATTTAGAGTTCTGATAGAATCAGAGTAATTTATGTATTAACCAGTTCAGAAGTGCCTTACTTTCTAAACCTGAGGCCTTTGTTTCCAAACCTAAAATTTCTCTAACTTATACCAGGTACATGCAATGGGAATTCTTTAGAGAAATACAGACAACATTTCTGCATTTGTCTGCAAGAAAAACACACGGAACATAATCAGCAAGGCTTGTTTAAAAGAGAGGAGAGCAACACACACTTCACATCTTCTTGACATCCTCAGTGGAGGGAGATGGTTTTGTACCATACCTCAACTTGCGTTTAATGTCTGTGCTGATACAGAGCTTTGCCTCTCAAATACTCCTCCAAGCACTGAATTGCAAAGGGGTCAGTGTCTGTGTCAAACTTGTTGGCAAAGAAGTGGTGCGTTCGCAACATCCAGTTCAAGTCTCCCACTCCGAAGACACACACGGAGCGGATGTGAACGCCACTGCAAGGCGGGTAGGGAGCGCCCTTGGACACATCCCCTTCAAAGTAATGCCACTTGACAAACCTGGCGAGTGCATTCATGTCTGAGACGTCGTACTTGGCACTGGCGGAGGCTGCACCGGGGACTTCAGGAATTCGCTGAATAGTAGCCCACAGGTATTCATCAGGACTGTAAGTGTCTTTAGCCCATTCTATAAAAGCAAGGACGTTGCTGTTCTCTAACACATATTCCACGAACCTCCTGCTAACAACAAAGTAGGCACTGCCAGAGAAAATGGGGGTACTCAGAGGTGGATGTTGCTTGTCTATTCCCATATTCTTTACCTTACCATCAACAATTTCATGATGCTTCTTCCACCGGACCTCCTTGTTTGCAGGCATTTTCTCTGTTTCTAAACTGTTCTCACCCTTGAGGGCTTTCAGCTTCTCTGCTATTTCCTGGTTGGTCTTAATAGGGAAATCCATTCCACAAAGGTTGATAAGGTACTTCCAGCTCATGCTTCTCCTATAGAGATCCTTCATGCAGTTGAGGTCAGCTTGCACTCTGCTCCATGATGCATATACAACACTCTCCAACTGGCTCGCAATGAAGACATTGCCAAAACATGAAGCAATCCCTTTAACTGCAGCCAGGAAGGACTCGGGAGACTTTTTATCAACATGAATGCAATAATAGTTTTGAGGAGCATAGATGGATCGCAAAAGTCTCTCAAACATATTAATCTTGTGGTGAACTACTATGGAATATGCGATAGGAAATTTTGCTTCTTCTTTGCTCAGAGGTTCCATAATATATTTCCTCTTCTTAATAAAGGAATCACAGTCCTGTGTCATGTTAATATAATCATTTGAGGTTAGCTTTGGGCTCTTTCTAAAGGATACAGTTAACAATTCCAGTTTTACTTTCTCAATTTCTTGTTGGTCACCCTGCAATATCTTGGAGCAATTGATATGATTATCTGGGTATTCACCAGTTAACTCCAGATGCTCATGATTCAGGAAGTCTGCTTTATGATGAATTTTGATAAGGGACAAAGTCCCAACTGTAAAAATTAGGAACCAGAGAAGTTTGAATCGTAGGCTATGACAGTGACGAAGTTTCCTTTTCAGCATTTCAGAGTGTACCTAGAATTTTCAACACATCTAAGAAAAGGTTTTTGAAAACATGATCAAGTCCCAGCTTCCGAGCCCTTGTTTTGCATTTCTCAGAAGTAGGTTCCTATAAATGAAAACAAAAACAGGCGTAAGTCCAGCGGAAAATAGCCATTTTTAATGTGTGCTTTTCCACAGAAGTTGACCTCTTTCTCTGTAATTGCTCACAGTTCTCGCTGCTTCACACTGCCCTGCCCAGGTGTGCTCAGCCTCCCCTATTCCTTGATGGCTATCACTGAATCAAGTCTCTCCTGACACACTCCTGTCCTTTCTGAGGCATAATCCTTTTTTTTCTTTTTTCTCTGTGGCCCCCCGAGACTTGTTTTTTGGCTGCCTTTCCTGCCTTTATTCCTTTGTTTTAAAATTCTAGCTGTTTTTAATCATGTTATGAACCACCTTGGACATTTTATTCAAATCAAAGTGCTGGATGACTGGATGTCTGGCTCGCCTTTGTTGAGGTCTACGCATTATGCCCTAACAATTGTAGAATAGAGGGAGATATAAGACATATAAATTCATTATAACAAATTCATTCAAATTCCATGTAACAAAACTATTAGCACAGCACTTTATTTATGCTTTTTATGTAATTTCATTTTTGTTGGATTTTTGAAGCTCACAATACAATTTAACGAACAATGGAAAGGCAAGATATAAAATCTGAAAAACGTGTAGGCCTTGTGGTTCTGTTTTGCCCTGTCACTTCTCAGGTGTCCACTCCCTGAGGATTTCATATGCCCACATGGCATAGTGCTGCAAATTCTCACAACGCCGAACTTTATTATTTATTTTTGGATTTATATCCTGCCTTTTTCCTACAAAGGGCTCAAGGCAGCTTACATCATTCTCCTCCTCCATCTTATCCCCACAACAACAACCCTGTGAGGTAGGTTGGGCTGAGGGTCTGTGACTGGCCCAAAGTCACCCAGTTGGCTCCATGGCTGAGCGGGGACTAGAACCCAGATCCTCTGAGTCCCAGTCCCATGCTCTCAACCACTACGCCACACTGGCTCACTTGCAGGTATTTTCCACTTCTATGCACTTAAGCAAGTCCCCCCACCCCCGCCACATTGTGGTGTCCCCCAGATGCTTTGGGCTACAATTCCCATTACCACATAACAGCATGTCTGAACGGTGCCTAATTCAGGAAGGCAGGCTGAAGGACAGCAGGGCCATCTCTTTTTTACTGTCACTCCAAATGCATTATGCCCTAGATACAAGCAGAATTTAAAACAAAGAAATAAAATTGCTTCATTGGTGTGGTTTTCAACCCTGTTTTGTTATGTTTCTTTCTGTGTCAGTTTGCAATAGCTTTTGAAGCTTAGGAAGAAAAAAAATTCTGCAAGCTACATGCTAACACCACATCCATTGCCCAGCAAACAGAGGACCCCCTTCAGTAAAAGTAACAAACAACTTGGTGATAGACATGAACTTATGCACTTCCTCTTTCTCTGGATTCAGTGAAAAGAACTCCTCACCTAACATTTCTCAGGGAAATAAAGTACTGAGATCATTAGAGAGCCTCCTGAATTTTTCCAGCTCGTGTAATTCCAGCATGGTGCTTGCCACTCGCTTAACAATACAGGGCAGTATGATGGATGATTTTAAGCTTCAGGATTTTTTTCAGGAAAAGTCTGCAGAGACAGATATTCATTTTTGAATGCTTCATCTTAAAATATTACTTTAAAGAAGAAAAAACAAATGGTTACCATTCTCTGTAACTTCTGCTTATCTCCTTATTGAATGAATAAGATATAAATCCTCTCCATTTTGTAAGCACTTTCTTTTGCAGGCTTGGCTTTCAAAAAAAGTTTTGATGAGCTAGAGAAGGCTAAATGATTTTTTGCTGAATTTCGTATGAAGCCATATTATCTGTCAAAACCACCCAATTAACTCACTTTCTCTCTCCTTTCAAAAGAATACTTCTAAAAGGGGTGTGCATCTTACTTTTCCAGGGTGCCTAGAGGCTTAAGGCAAGGTGGAAGAGGTAGAAGGCACAGGAAACTTTTTGGAGCAGTACTTGTACAGCTAGAAGATCACATTTGAAAGAAGGAGATGTAGTCAGCTCAGCACCCTCTTCACAAACAGAGATCTCTTTCTGGCTTTGTTTTTCCTTCGACAGCTTTCCATTTGGCAATTGTCAGATAGAAAGCAAATAGAACAAATTATCCTTGCCTTGTTTTATCAATGCTCAGTGTCAGTCCTGAGCTTTTACAAGCAGCACAAAAAAGGGGTCATGATCAGTGCCAAGAGAGAAGACAAGACACGGGCACACCATGGGTTGTTTTAAACACAGTCCCCTGTGTGGCTTAGTCAAAGGATGAGTTGCAGTGCTGTGCAAACTCCCTCACCGTGCAAGATGTTTGGAGTGCTAAGCAATTTTCCTTCTCCAAACTGCTTTCTCTTTGCCCTGTGCAATGTGCACAATTCCTATTTCTAAGTTTTAGTTGCTATCTGTTAACTTTTAATGCAGCTATATTCTTTGATGAATTTGTAATTCTTTTTCCTATCATCAGCTAATGTCAATGATGCGTTAATGGCTTGTCCAAGTAAGAACAGACCAGCATCTGCATCTGCAGAATGTTACTACTTATCTTTCCTGTCTATCTTTCCATGACTAATCCACCATGCAGGCAGTCTTTTGGGCGAAAAAGACATTTGTTGGTTTTGTCTAATCCACCTTTTTCAAGCCTTTTAAAGCATATTGCCTTGTGGCTAAATGGATTAATTGCATTCCCATTCTTAGCTAGAGCAAATGCTTTACAAAAGAGGACTTTGGTCTGTAATGATTATTCATTAAACACTTCCATTGCTGGCAATTATTACATATTCCACAAGGTATGCTCCTTTACTTGTTCTAATGTTCCCAGAGACAAGATTACACAAATGGTTCCCTTCATTTTCCTGCTGTAAAGTTAGATACTCATATGCTCTTTCACAGGCTTCTTGGCTCACACAAATTCTCAGCTATTATAACTAGTAATTTTTAGATCTGCTCAGCTTCATCTTCCAAGATCTATGTATGGCTGAAGCCAGAATGGGTATTTTTTCACACTTTCTCTGTAGCATTGCATGGTTTCACAGGTATACATGGCACTTTTGATAATGAAATAAAAATAGTGCATTTTCTGAGTTTTTCACCTTTCAGGGCATAGGATTAATCTGTCACCTAAAATCACGTTCTAATATTAATTTAGGAATAATGAGTTATTGACCCAAGTATGACCCAAGTTTTATTTGGTTAATTGATCCTATTATAAAAAAGTAAATGATTCCTTTTCTGTGTAACCAGTTTCCTACTTTTTAAAAATAAAAACTATAGTCAATGCAGGTAATGACCAATATTGTCTCTGCTTCAATCCTGTACATGCAGTTAATTTTTGTTCAGTACTAACATATGCTACCCTAATGCCTCAGTGTAACGCAGGAGAAGGAATGTTGCAGAAGTATCGTTTTCGTTTGTCAGCCATTTTTCTTCAGTACTCTCCACCTGTGTCTCCTTAAAAATACATATACAAATGCATATTTATATATACGCATCCATGTATTTATTTATTTATTAAAACATTTTTATGCCGCCCCATTCGCCGAAGCCTCGGGGCGGCTCACATGTATAAAAAGATTGCTGCACTGCGAAGGTGAACCTAATCACTAAGAACCATCCTTTTGCCAAGTGAAGACAATGATTAGCCTTATTTTCTCTCCAGGGCAGGTAAAAAAACTTTCTACAGAAGCCACATGAACCTGATGCCCTACATGAACGCATCAGGTGCCCTCAAACTTTTTGGGCTGGTGAGTACATTGGAACTTTGAGAGTGTGTTGCGAGTGCTCTCCTGAAATGGACACCATGGCAGAACTGACCTATTCATAAAAGAGCCACGGAGTAGGCATGGCTGGTCACAAAACACTAATTTCCTAGAAGACAAACTGGTGAAATGCAAAGAAATTGTCCTGCCTGAAATGGGGGAAATGGCCGAGATTCCGCCCGTCTTTCCTGCAGCAGCACACCCGTGATAACGCACATCTTCCCTGCACGAACAGAACTGCGATCGAGGTCATCTCCCCACCCCCAGCGCACCATTTGCGCCCATCTCTCCCTCCCCCAGTGCGCCCACAATCACACCCGTCTCTCCCCACCACTCCCCCAGCACTGGGATGACGGGGGCGCGCGGGGGGGGGAGGGGGCCTCTCGGGGTTTGGGGGGGGGGGGGGGGGGAGATGGCTGTGCTTGTGCTTGGTGGGGGGGGGGGAGATGGCCGTGATCTTTGTTGTTGTCAGTTTGCTTCACATTTTTCTGATTTAAAAAATGATTACAGAATGGATTAACCTTATTTACACTGAACCTTATGGGGAAATTTAACTTGGCTCACAACCAATTTGGGTCATGACCAGAGTCCTGGAACGGATTAAGTTTGTGAGCCAAGGTACCACTGTACCAAGTACCCACAACTCAACAGTCTATGATTCAATGACAACTCATAATCAGTCTGCATTCTGGGTTGCCATTATGTGTGAACCTGCTTAATGTCATCTTGCAAACTTCATGGCTGAGTGAGGATTTGAACTCAGGTCTCCCCAGTCCAAATTCAGCACCCCCACTTACCAAGATTACCTTGTTATTCTTGTTTTTAAACCTGTATGTGCTTTTTTCCAAAATGAGAAGTCAATGTATTTTTCCTCTTAGCCTTAAACCCAAATAAATGAACAAGCAGCCTGCATTGCTGCATTGGAGGTACAGTACAATCCAATGTCAAAGATACCCTTTGACATCATGCAAGTCACTTAGTCTTTAGTGTAGACAACTTTGGACTTGAACAGGCCATGTTCAAGAAAGGAGATATTAACAGAGAACCAATTTATAGAAAAGTGGAGCCTTAGGATTTAGTAAAATGAAGGGAGTACATAAACTTTTCTTTCTGCTGGGGATGATTTACTGTTAGCCTGTCTGGTTAAAATGCATATTGGAATTATTAACATCATTCCTCTTTCTGTTATGATTTCTGGGGTCAAGTTTTGCTATCATCTCTGCATGATGATAATGAATGCAACAAAAGGAAAAAAGAGGAAATTATTAGACTATGGGTGACAGATTCATGGTAGCTCTAGCATGAATTCAGAAAGGAAGATTATTGCAGTGCTTTTTCAAGCTGGTGTCTACTTGTTCACAAGCAGTCTGAAATTCATAGCACAGAGCTATACTGTAGCCTTCATTCATGTATCATCTTCCATTGAAGAAGGAGAGAACAGAAGGAAACTTCAAAAGGTTGGCAGCCACCATAGCAAATATCAACTCCCCCCCCGGGTCCCCCCCCCCCCCCCCACACACACATTTGACCTGGGTCTTTCTCAGCCATGTAAACAAGGACAGTTTCTGCAAGATACCATACCTTTGTTCCAAAGCATGTAATCTGAAGCATCAAACACATTAGCTCACAATGAGGCGAGGCTCTGCAGAACTTAGCAAACACAGTTCGTACGGATTTGAAGGGTTTCGGAATACTGCCAGGTGCCGGCAAAGGGCTGAATCCAATGATATAAGTGTGCTTCCCTGAGGACAGGCATCTCATAAAGGGAAAAGAATATGGGTACCTTCTTTAAAAAGTCATTTGATTATTGTGCAACCAGAAGGAGACATTAATTACACAGCAGGGTTACTTATCAGTCCTTTAAGAATTTTCAGAGTTTGTCTTCCAATGGGCGGCACCTACTGGGTGCCAGCCATTAAGCAGCATTGTTACACAACTTCTTTCTTGCCAGTGGAGTTTCCCTGACACCCACACACAAGCTCCACTGCAAGAAATGGTGGCTACTCAGCTAGCATGAGATGACAATCAAGACTTCCACTGATATCACCTTATTAAAGAAACCCAAGCTTACCTTCACTGTCTTGTGATGGCAGAATAATTACATCTTACAAATTAAAGAGGAAGAGAAAAGAATTTCAGCAGAATGGGCAAAACAGCCAAGAGTTCCCAGAAACAGAGAAGGTCTTTGTGTCTCTAAACAACAGCATGCATTGTTCTTGGAAAACTTGAGACGTGTTACCTATAGCCTTATTTAGAAGACTTGTTTGGAACAGTGGAGATTCCAAATAGCAACTCACACCCCTGTTTAAAAGCCATCAACCCCCTCCTCTTTCCATTAAACAGATATCCTTTTCAGAACAGCTTAGAAAAGGAGGCAAGGTGCCAGAGAAATACTGCTCACTGCTATTCATTCTGCCAAGGTACACAGATGGCTATTTGCCATCGCTTAGGTACTTTCTGTCATCAAGTGTCGTGTAATTCATGTGGAGAGATTGTTTAAATTTAGGGTAAAGTCCCTAATTCAGTAAAGTCAAAGGTTCACACTTGGATACAAATATGTAAAGGTTATTCAGGTTCAGATTAAACTTCGAGGACATTATTAGAATTTTGGTTGCACTGTCAGGTAAGGTCACTACCTTCTATTATACAGGAGTAGACTGACATTCTGCACTCCTTACACAATGACAGACAAAAATTCTTCAAGGACAGCTAGATGGGCATCTAGTATACTTGTCCAGTTGTCTGAGAGAAACAGTGGACACCACCCTGGAGGCACTGGCCCAATTCACATGTCATGAGAAACCACCATGGATTTAACTTCCTCATGTGGCTTCTTGCTGCTGTACTGGTAGCCATTCTGGACATTTTGTAATGGCAGGAGCATGCCATAGCCTCGCATTATGGGCAAATCCAGCTGGGATGAGTTGTTAGGGTGACTGACTGACCACCTCAAATCCATGGGCTGGTTTAAGGTCGTCAATCAACAACCCAAATTTGCCAGGTTCAGATGTAGAGAGAAGCTATGGCGTGCCTCAATGCATCCTGAAGAAAATGGCAGCCTCCCCCTCCCCCACATTTTTCATGCTTCTCCAAGCCTCTACCTAGTATAGAAAAGGGAGATCCACATCTCAATACTAAGAAATCTGTGTATATTTCCTTCCCCTGCCACCACCAAAAAAAAAAAAAAAAAAATGACCGCATTTGCTAGATTATGCCTCAACACATTTGCTAGTTGAAAGAAAGGACTATTTTGACAGCTCTCAAAACAAAGTGCTCCCAGAAAGGAGCAGCATATAGCACTTCCCTTTCCAGAGTACTTAAGAGGCTTGGGAAAGTGGAAATTTTGGAGGGGACTGAGAACAACCAGAGAAATACTTAAAAAAAAAAAAAAAAAACCCTTAGCGAATCGGAGTCAACCGGAGAAATACTAAAAAGCTAGAAAATTGAAGTCCAAAGTGGGAGATATACTTAACATGCCTTTCAGCCTTATTTGCCTCTTTGCTTTTCAATCAACAGCCCCCAGATGGCAGCTGTCAAGTGCGCACAACGCAACCTATATGCAGCCTTGCTTGTAGATGCCCATGAATGTTGCCTACTGCATTTTGACAGCAGACACTTGCCAGGGCATTGGCTAGGTGCACACCCGCAAAGAACTTTAGAAAATGCATGAACGTGTGCAACTTTGTGCTGCCCCCAAAACCAAGCAAACGTGTAAGTGATGGTCACTCCAAAGTGCCACTTAGGCATTGGTGGCACGGCTGTCACTTGATGCAGCATTGGCAAGATTGTCCAAAGCAGCAAGGAGGTGAAACTACTCTTGCCAAGCCAAGTTTGCTACTTTCAGTCTATGATGGAAATGGTTTTGCAGGTTCAGATAACACACCAACCCTTCACTGATTCAACAGTTCTTAGCACAAGCCATGAATTGTCAGTAGAGCCAAAAACAAGATACTCTACAGGTAACCAGCTAGGTTCAAGTGATATGATATACCTCTATGGATAGCTACCAATGATAGATGTTTGCACTGTGCAAACCTAGTCTACAGGAATGACGTGCCAACTAAAACTGAAGTTACGTGCCAACTAAAACTGAATAACCCAGCAAAGGTGACTTGTTGGGGCAGTAATAAATCTGCCCCAACTCAGAACCCATGGGCTGGGTAGGACCCACTTCAATACAGCTACCCTCTCTGGGTTCAGATTTATTTATTTTTCTATTTATATCCTGCCTTTTTCCTACGAAGGGCTCAAGGCAGCTTACATCTCCTCCATCTTATCCCCACAACAACAACCCTGTGAGGCAGGTTGGGCTGAGAGGCTGTGACTGGCCCAAAGTCACCCAGTTGGCTCCATGGCTGAGTGGGGACTAGAACCCGGATCATCTGAGTCCCAGTCCCATGCTCTTAACCGCTACACCACACTGGCTTCTCAGATGACATGAGAAGCTGTGCTGGGGGGCAGGAGGCAGTCACTTCATTAATTTGGCGAGCTTGCACAGGCTAGATAAGAAGCCATGGTGACTTGGTACTATTTTGCAATAACACAAAGCGCAGCCGCTCAATTTTTATATTTTCCCTTCCTCCAGAATGTTGGACTCAGACTAGTAGAGTTGGAAGGGGCCAAGAAGGCCATGGGGTCCAACCACCTATTGTTGCAGGTTACCGATTTACAACATCCCACTCAGATGACTAATCAAATGTTGCTTTGATGTTACGTCTTTGAAGTAGCCTATAAAATGTGAGGGGGGTATTTATTCAATGAATGCCAAGAATTCTAAGAAAGTTAGTTTAGTTTTATGTTAAAAGTGAAATTCAAGTTAGCACTTAAATAATCTGCTTTTTGAAAGAAAAAAAAAGCAAGCAAACAAGCAGTTTTGTATTGCACACGCTTCATGTTTTCAAGTTAGGCAACTTCTTCCATGAAAAAGAAGAGTATCCAGCTCTCAAGAATGAACAGACCAAACTTTAAGCAAAACACAAAGATTATTTACATATCAGATTATAGCTGTGCACACTGCTGTCCCATAAAAAATATCACTTTAATCAATGCAGCGGCATAGGCATATGAATTGCTAGGTGAAAAATTGCAGCCTTTGTGTTACCTACTTGCCTAACCCTGTATTTTTGTACTCTGAAATGACAGCAAGACCTAGTGACAGCATGTCACAGTACTACTTCTGCACAAAATGAGAAGGTAGGAGAAGAAAACTAGTAATCAGTTGCATACAGCTCCTCTTGGAACATGCACATTTTAGACTGTAATGGAATTTTACATTATGTCCCTGAGGTAGGCTGCCTGAATGTTTAGGGCTTGTATCTAACGGCAGTTTCCCACCAAAAGAATAATTTTCACCAATAGGACAGATCCCCCCTTCCCCCAGCAGCCTTCCATACCCCTGAACTCTGCTTGAGGATTGCAGGACCTTCTGGAGATCCTGAGAAGGTATACAGGGGAGAAGAAAACAGGAGAGTTCTGTTGCATGTTGGATTTTCCATGCAGATCTATTGTGTGACTTGGAATCTGCACTCAGATTATACTATTTGTATCATGTCTGCACTCAGGTTCGGTAACCAGTGCTATTAAATAATGCCCAGTCATCAGTTATAAAAACAAAGCCAGTATTTATGGAGGTAGTTTTCAGCCTTTCTTGGTTTTTAGGGAAACGTGTATTAGCCTGACCACTTTGGATGATATCCAATGTTAGCACCACTTAGGTTAGGTCCATTGAAATGAATAAGGCAGCAATTAAAGTGCAATTCATGTCAATGCAGCTACTCTAAGTAGGCCTAATATTGCATATGTCCCTTTGTCTGTGTGTTGAGTGACCACTGTTATAAATAAAGGGTGTCAATTAGTTCTGACTATGCTGCTAATACAGAGGAGTTAGAACAGCAGATGCATAGGAAGGATCGAGCTCTGTTGGAGTGGACAGAAGGGAAAATCTACTGTGTACCCAGAGATTAATCATTATCATGCTCATTCACTGCAAATCGGAGCAAATGCGTAAATGGACCCATGACTAAGAGCCACGGTCTGCAAGTCTGATACGCTTCTGTCTCCCAGACCCATAAGCAATACGGAGTGCCTGCCTGCGGGGGAACATGCTTATGCAGGGATAACAGGCATGGGGCTCCCTCTGTCTCCTGCCTGTGATAAGCCCCACATTCTCTGCCCCAGCCCAATTCTTGTAGTCTGGTGTCTTTTCAGTCACCCTCCATCTGCGTCCATCTGTGGCACCACCGCCCCCAGCCTCGCCAAAGATGCAAGAAAACCTGTTCTTGAAGTTGGCACAGCTCTGGCAGCTGCAGGATGAGAGGATGCACAATCTCTCCCAGGGGTAGCCCAAGACAGTTTGCTGCCTGAGGTAATTAACAAAATGGCGCCCCTTCCCAAACCAACTGGGTTGGCAGGTATTTTCGCCACACCTGTGATGGGCCAGTATCCTCCTCTACACCTGAGAGCATCAGGATCATTTAGGGAGGGCGGGTCATGCAGCAAACAAGCTCTCTCCTTCCACACTTGCCCCCTTCTTCCAAACCTGCCGGCTGGGGCAGCACTATCCCCCTCCCCGGATTCCCCTCGCCCTTACCTCCACAGCTGCACCTCCTGAAACTGCCCTTGTTGAGCAGAGACGGCAGCCACCCGCTCCCACTTCACCCAAGGCTCACGCACACGGAGAGTGCAGACAACCAGGTTCTTTTCCCCCCCTTGCTGCTGCACCAAGCACAACCGCCCCACCAACGCAAGGAAAACACGTCACACTCTTTCTCGGAATCGGTTTTCTCTGCTGTGGCAGCGGCTCCTTCCTGCCTCATGGTGCTCCCTCCCAGCTGAAAGAGACCTGTCGCCCCACGGCGTGACAGCGATGGGTCACCAACACGCGCACGCCTCCATGACCGGAAAACGCGGGGACTCTAGGAAACGGTGCTCTTTTCAGGGGAATTTCCTGCCGATCCACGGCTCTGGTTCCAAGAGAGGGGAGAGAGAAATATTCCTCACTGGGGCGGGAGAGCACATGGTTTGATGTCTCAGTGAAAAGGCACTTGGAGGCCTGACGGGGTTAAGCAGGATTAAAAACTTTTCTGCCGGGAATTTATCTCCATTTCCATGAAAACTCGGAAGTAGCGGACGCAAAGTAACGCTAGGATTAAGTAACTCGCGCCAGAGGCGCTATGCAGCTTTCGCGGATAGAAAGCACCGGTGCAAAGGAAGACAAGTCCGCGTGACCCGGGAGATCCCTGGAGTGAAGGGAGCTTCTGCCCCGCTTCTCAGTTGCTCCGATAACCGAACCAATGAATGCACGACCGAAGCCCGCTTCCAACGCGCTTACAGCCGCTTGCTTACTTACTGCAACCAAATCTGAGCAGCGCGATCCTTCGCGCTTGGAATCGGAGAAAGCTCCGCACCGTCCCCAGGAAAGCGCGGCGAGGACCTCAGCCTTGCAGTGGCTCCCCTCTCGGAAAAGCCGCCCTGCCGGAGAGGAAAGAGCGCGGAGAGGAGGCGTCCCTACCTGCCGCAAGCCAGAAACGAGTGCGGAGAAGCGCAGCTGCAACCCGCGCGAGCCGGGCTGCAGCGCAAAGGAGGAAGCGCCGGGCACTCGCGCCTCTGCACCTCTTCCGCCACCCTGCGCTGGTATTTCGCACACTCGCTCCTCCCTCGGCGCCGGAGCGCTTGGCCTCCCACTTGGCTGGCTGCAGGCCCGTCGCGTCTCCCCATCCATCTGCGAGGGAGCGAAGGGCGGGGGGCAAGAGCGGACCGCCAGGGCGACCTTTTCTGTTCCTCGGCAGGATCAGCCGCCGGGACGGGAGAAGCAGGCGCACTGGGAGGCGACTTATCCAAGAGCGTCTGGTGAGCTGCGTCGAAAAGCGCCGTGACTTTTTGCGCCTCCGAGGGACTGCAATTCTGTGCGCACTTAGGACTTGCAAACCTTTATCCAGCCCTTCCTCTGCGTAAACAAAGCGCGGGCTTCTAAGCAAGCTGCGTTTTACCACCATCCATTCACCAAACGGGTGGGCTTATTTTTCTCTCCCCGCCGCACCCGGTTTTTGGCAGCCACGTGATGCATGCGTACGGCAGCAGAAGGGTACAGTCTCCCCAAACACGCTGGGAACAAGGCCAGTGGGCATATTTAGGAATAGACCCTCAGGGCATTGCGCTCCTTAACCCTGTTCGCGAGCAGGATTCCAGGCACAGGTGAGGGTCATGTGGGGCAGCTTCCCTGGAGGTAAGGCCATTTAGTGTTTGTGGCAGCCTTGCGTTGTGTGTCCGCTCCATCCTGTGAAGGGTTCTCAGTGCCTTTCCGCCCAGGGTCATCCCCAGCCTGCAGGCCGGAAAACGAAAGGGAAGGGTGGAGGGTGCGAAGCTGCAACAGATGGAGATTTGAGAGGGGGGTGGAAGAGCTCAGCAATATTAAAAGGAACCTCTGTGGGCTAGCTGAAATGATGCTGTGTTCTGAAATAAAGTCAGATCTGTTAGGTCCCAAGTGCTTCTGGAATCCTGTAAGTATGGAATAAGGACAGCATTGCAGTTAAAAGGCCCTAAGACAAACCTCAGACTTGTAAACGCTATGAAATAGTGTTTCAGTGCCTTTCATTCACCATAACTAACTCATTCCCCCCACTCCACTTCTTGCAGCTAATTAAAGGATGGGAATTCAACAGAGTGAGCTTTTCTTGACATAAGGATGTAGCCTCCCCTTTGGACTACTGTAATACACTTTATGTGCGGCTGCCCTTGGAAATGGTTTGGAAACTGCAATTGGTTCAAAATAGAGCTGCTTGCCTCTTAACTAGAACACCCAGGCATGAGCATATAACTGAAGCCCAGGCTCGCTTTAAGGTGCTTACTCTAATAAATAAAACCCTAAACAGTTCAGGACCTGAATATCTGATGGAACATCTTCCATATACACCTGCCCAGACCCTAAGATCATTGTTGGAGGTCCTTCGCTCACTGAAGGATATAAGGAAGGTTTTTGGCTGTGGTGCCCCTTCTATGGACGCAGCTGCTCAGAGAGGTGCACCTGGCACCAACCCTCCTTGCTTTTAGGCACCAGGCTAAGACCTTTTTATTCTCCAACTATTTTAATTCCTGAATTTTATTATTTTTTATTTTATGAATGCATTGTGGACTATTTGATATTATTTGGTTGTATTGATTTGAATTGTTTATTGGATTTGATTTATTTATTTTGCTTTAGTTTTACTGTTTTTCTCAAATTGCTATTGTTTATTTTATCAATTGTCATTCTGTTATTTATTATGATTGTTTTTAAATTGTAAACCATCCTGAGTGTTAGGTTAATTTGGTATGGTATAGAAATGTTTTAAATAAGGATGTAATGATGGAAGAGACTTCTGTTATAAAATTGCTGCCTGCTAGCACTTATTAAAAAAAAATCCTAGAGAATTGAAAAACTGGCACGTTTCCAGTTGAGCTCATCTTCCAAATGTTAACTGCTATTATCATTACAATAATTTACCACTGTTGCTTGTTTTATAATTACTGTAACTGTACAAAGTTTAATGCCTATCCTTGCTACAGGTGCTGATAATAAAGCAGTTTACATTGAGTTCCTTGAATGCAAAGCTTTGCTTTGAGTGATTCAGCTGACCCAGGCTGAGATAAGGGGCCAAGGTGAAAACAGCTCCAGCCTGGTGTGACAATTGAAAGTAATGCTGAAAATGCTACTGCAATTACTGCCCAGAAATTATCCTCTGGTATCAGGATGCAAGATAAGTTTGTTTCAATACTGCTGTGTATCAATACGTTTTATCTGATTAGCAGGAACCTAGAGCACAATGTACACTAGCATTTGCTGAAGTAAAATTAAATGGCTTGGATCCAAACGTGTGCAAACAGTGGTCCACTTACATCATCCTTTCCTAGTGTAATACTTTCCAGATGGTTTAGACTACGATTCTCAGTATTCTTGGCTGGTGGCAACATTGGCTGGGGCAGGTGGGAGCTCAAGTCTAAAACACTGGGCAGGTACCAGTTTGGGGAAGGTTGTCTTACACAGTGGAGCTTGTCTCCTCCCTTCCCCATCTCTGCAAATCTCTTTAGGGAAAGCATTCCAAATGTGGGGAGCAGCAGCAGAAAAGGCTCTCTTTTTGTTAGTCACCCCTCTTACTTCCCTGAGGTATTCCAGGGTCAAACTCGGGTCCAAGAGCACCTGCAGACTGTGGATCCTGTCCTTTAGGGAGAGTGTGACCTCATCTAGGACAGGGTAATGCCCCTCCAACCTGTCAGAAGACCCCCCTACTAATAGCACCTCTGTCTTGCCTGGATTGAGCTTCAGCTTGTTGACCCTCATCCAGTCTATTATTGAGGTCAGGCCTTGGTTCAGGATGGTGACAACATCATCTGGATGTGATGTAAAGGAGAGGTAGAGCTGAGGATCATCAGCATATTGCTGATACTTCAGCCCACACCTCTGGATGACCTTTCCTAGCAGCTTCATATAGATGTTGAAAAGCATGGGAGACGGAACCCAGCCCTGTTGAAGAGAGAGGAATATGTTTCAAGTTCGCATGGTCACAGTTTGATTCAAAGAGCTTCTTTGCATTTACAGCAAATTGGCAGGGGAAAAACCCAACATAGGGAGCTTTTTTCCCAGCAGTGATAAAGCTTCCTCTGGTGACTTGTTCCGTTTGAGGCAGAGGATCCCCACTCAAAATCAAATGACAGCCTTCTGCTTGTTTGCTCCTGTGACCCATAGTCATGGTTTGCAGATGTGGACAGAATAGTGCAGAAGGCCTTGTCTGCCCTTCAAGTGCAGTTGGAAGTATTCTGATTGGTTCTGTCAAGACTTGAATTGTAGGCAATCCACAATAGGGGTTTTCATCCTGTGACTGCAGATAAGGTTTCTTATTTCAGCTGAGTTCAGACAATGGGATAATCCATGTTTCAGCAACAACCCATGGTTCAGCAAGAGCCCGTGCTCGCTCCTTGGATTATCATGTCTGCACCAGCTATTCTTTCCTTCATTGAACTCTTAACATTTTAGGATCTGAAACTGGCAAGTTTACATGGTTAAGGGACAAAACAGCTCCACCATCATAAAGGTTGCTATTTCAACTCTTTGGAGGAGGCATGGAGTGAAGGGACTCTTAAAATTGTAAGCACAGAATGGAGAAGAGTCTTCTGCTGTGTGCATTTTCCCCACTGCAGTGCTTCTCGGCATCGCCGTGTCAAGAAAAGCAGCACCTGGAGTAATACACTTACTGGGTATCTTCAAAGTGATGCTAGACTATACTGTGTGGCATAATATCTTACCTTGGGTCCAGGGTCCAGACTGGTGCATGGTTTCCTCCAAATCACAGCTGGAATCCCAGCCTGCACTGTTTCTGCCTGCCTCACTGGCCTCTCCCCCACTGACTCGCACAACTCCCTTGGGCATGTCCTCGCCCAGGGGCTGCCTTTTGTTTCTCCTGCTGCGCACTGGGGCAGCTGCTTACTCACTAGAGTAGCATTAGAATAGCATTGCCTGCCGCTCCGTACTCTGTGGCAGTGTAGAAGCCGCCTGCTGCTCTTCTCCCCTTGCTGCACATGCGTCCATGCTCACCCATGTGCAGGACTTGCACAGGTTGCCAGGGGCTGCCTCCACCCTGTGGCCAAGCACGTGGAGCATCAGCATGGGCATCCGTGTCAGGACAGATGTGGCAGGAAGCCTTCCTGAAGGGAGTGCATGTGGGCATCTGTCTGGGAAAGTTTCTTGGCAGGCTCTTGGGAACGTATGTAGGGGTAGGGGAGAGTGGGGCTTCTTCACAGTCCCGAGGAGTGTCAGGGACAAGAAAGATGCAAAGTGGGGGGTAAGAGACAGACTGGGAGACAGGCCTTGCAGA